ACTTTTGCAATAAACATTTGAAGCTATTATTCCATTAATTTATCTATGTTTAAGAGAAACAACTGAGTTAATGCTTAAAGTAAATGTTCATGAACTGTTTTGGTGAACTCCTATGAAGATGATGCATTAGGCAGATGTTTTGATAATTAGCAGCTGACTGTCAGAGCCTGCATGGTGGCAACAGTTTGGGAATATTTTGGGAGATTTTATAGATTTTTTTTAAATCGGAAAGAGAGGGTGAAGATATTTCTGAACTGTTTGATGACTGTGACTTTGATCATTTTCTATAAACTTCCATTAAAAAAAAAACTCCAAACTGAAAAGCCCCTTATCAGCTGTGACAGTTGCAAGTAAGTATTTTGTTACATTAGTTTCTGAGATTCTTCAGTGTATGTGCCCCAGGTGTTTACTGTAAGATGTATGTTAGTGTAGACTATGTACAATAGGGCTCTGTGGTGAAAATCATTTCATAATGCAATCCTCCATGTCTATAGGAGTTCAGTTCCCGTGATGGGTCGTATGGGAGAATATTGATTTTGTGGCTTTTTGAGTTTGACAATTCAGTCATACTGCATCAGAAATTCTTGGTACAAAATAGTGCAAACAGCTGCTGAATTTGCAGAATTTTTTTTCATAGCTAGATAGGACGCTTATCCAGGATTATTTTAACACCCCCCCCCCCCCCAAGATTTTTCGGTGGCCTTTCTTGCACTAATCTACAGCCATACGATTATGGTGTACAATAAGATTCCATTTTTTTTTTAAATTCTTGAAATTTGTTCTTTAATTTGGTACAAAACTGCAAAATATTATGAGTTAATGTTAAATAGTTGTGAAGCTATGGCACGGTTAGTGTACTCTAGAAATATGTGGTATCAGAGAAAGTGCACGGGTAAATGGGCTTGGTAGTTGAGTTGAGCTAATTGAAGAACCAACATCACAGTATATGGGACATTCCCCTAAGCGCTCCGTCCACATCTTCAGCAGCCAGCGCACAGTTCCAGTACCAGTGTTACCAGTAGCAGTCTGATTATATGTCCACCCTGCCTTTCCTCTGAGCATGGGCTTGGTGTTAGTGAGTTATTTGTGCGAGACTCTGCAAATACTAATAATCTCATAGGAGTAACAGCAATTAAAAATATTTGCCCTACTAATGGTAATTTTAACTGGCGTTTCACATATTCACATTACAATACTATCTGAGCTGACCAGCTGAAAAAAAAAAAAAGTATTCAGGTAAACACAATGCTATTACATAGTTTTTCAGTTGCAACAGGCTTTCTATAGAACGCTACTGACAAATGTGACTTGTGGAAAACATGATTCTGTCACTGAAATGCCTTCTAATATAATATATAAAAAGAGGTTTTTAAACAAAACCAAATAAGGAAAGGACATTTTTACATGCCTTCAGTCGTTCTGGGTATATACAGCTATATAGGCAAATCAGCACTTGGTGAGTGATGTGATCAATATCATGCCAGCCACCTATACTTCCCAGGACTTTACCTGGTACTAATATAACCCAAACAATTGTAAATGTATACTTCCATAACAATTTTCAAAAGCAAAATGTTAATTTTTAAAAATCTATAATAATCTACTTCCAAATAAACTGAACACATGACAAAAGCTCAATTTCAAGTCAAAACATATTATCATTTACTTAAACATAAACAAAATAAAACACAAAAATGCAAATGATAAAACTGAATGTATGAATCAACTGTGAATCCTATGTGATATAATGGCACATCATAACCTCAGAAGTGAACATACAACATCGCTACTTCTGTCAGTAGTGAAAAAAAGGTGACAATCTACATTCTTTGATAAAGTCATTGGAAAAGCAGGAAAAGGGTGGAAAGGGGGGTGGGGGGCAGATAGAAAGCAAGAGAGATAAGATGATTGGCAGTGTGACATCACAGCATAGAAGATCATGTGCTAGATCATTTATCAAATGTACACAAGACAGAAGGTTGTGGACAGACATACCTGCCAATGTCATATGGCATGGACTGGAAGAAGGTTGTGCAGACATACCTGCCAATGCCACATGACATGGACTGTAAGAAGGTTGTGGACAGACATACCTGCCAATGTCACATGACATGGACTGTAAGAAGGTTGTGCAGATATACCTGCCAATGCCACATGACATGGACTGTAAGAAGGTAGTGGACAGACACCATCATCCTTGCACTAGAGTTATTAAACAAGATAATTAGTGTATGCAATCACTGATAGGTTAGAGGTATAATCTTCTTAGCAATCACCAGCTGTAACCTGGTGATAGGTTAAAGGTATAATCTTCTTCTTAGCAATCACCAGCTGTAACCTGGTGATAGGTTAAAGGTATTATCTTCTTCTTAGCAATCACCAGCTGTAAACTGGCAGACAGTTCTGGTTCTACGTTCACTTCTGGACAAACTTCAGTTCTGTCTACAGTCAGTGAATGCTAAGAAATTAATTAAATCTTTAACATGTGAGAAAGACTGCATACAATTATTTATCTTATAGGAAAGATTTCAATGAAAATATTTGCCGTTTTGGTGGTGGGAACTGGCTTTTCAAACATTCACAATACTTTTTGAGTAAACTAAAAAAAACAAAATGCATGCATAAAGAAAAGAACTTAATTCAAGAACTGAATACTGAAGAAGTTGGGTATTAAAGACGATAAAACACAGAAAACTGATATATTTTGGTCAATAAAAAAAGTCATGTTTAGAAAGAACAATAAAGGAGGGGTATATGCCTGGGAAGAGATTTGTTGTTATCAATCCAACGGCGCATGAGCTTTCGCCCTTGGCCCAATGCCATGTAGTGGAATATGCATGTTATCACAAGCTGTTTTTTTCCCTCCGTACACGGTGTTCCACTTGTCTGGTCTCGGAGGGAGTAGGCTGGGAAGAGAGGAAGAGGAAGGCCAAAGAGAGGATGGGTGCAGGATGTGGTAGATGATCTCCAGATGGGTGTATCGGATGTGGGACATGTTGCTTCTGATCGAGATGTTTTCCGGAGGGTTGTTATGAGAGCGAAGGTTTTGCAAAGAACATTACTGACTGTATTTATGCAAACATAATGCTATTACATAGTTTCTGAGTTGCAATGGGTTTTCTACAGAAAGCGACTGAACAATGGGACTTGTGTCAAAAAAAACATGATTCTTTCAACAAAAGGCTTAGTAAAATAGGTTTTTTTTTTTTGTTAAGTTATAAATGCACATTTGCATTCACATTTTCAAGTCAATGTTAATCAAAATTTATAATCCCTACTTCCAAAAAAACTGAATTAATGACATAATGTTCTTCTTCTTCGTGTTCACCAGCTGTAAACTCTGGCAGAAAGTTATGGCTGTTCGTCCACTTCTGGCACTCAGAACGTAAGTGTTGCGTGTGCATCCATTTGACAGATGTGACTGATGTATGTGCAGACTGTTGGTTTCTTGCCTCTCAGGCAGATGCACTCCTTCTCTGAAAAAAGCTTCCAATTAACTGACTCTTACAACATGCTTTTGGCTAGGCAGTGGGTCTGTTCTTGTTTTCCCTATAATAGGGCCCCGGAATCCACACGGGAATGACATAATGTGAAGATTTTCAAGTCATGGATTTTCATGTATAATCATCTACTTGCACACAGATAAAAAACAAAACTGCAAAGGATAAATCTGAAAGGAGGAATCAACTGTGAGTATATGTGATATATATAATGGTCTAACATAACCTCAGCAGTGTGCACACCACATGGCTACTTCTGTCGTTCTGTTGGTAGTGTAACTGTTACTAAGTAGATTCAGAAACATACTGTAAGGTTTGACTGGTTGTGAACCCACTAGAAAAGAGTGTGTTTACAGCAAGAGAGAAACCATTAAAAGAATATCTGGAAGACAGGAAAGTCTCATACTGAGAGCTACAACCATCAGTATCAATGATGTTAAATCAGCTTGATAGAAGGTGCTTGTTTTTGAATTCTTAAAGACTAAGTTTGTGTTCTGGGGGGGGGGGGGGGGGTGGAATAGACCCTTTGAAGATGGAGTGCATCTGCCTGACAGGCTAGAAACCAAGTCTGCATACAGTTAAGTTGAATACGTAAAACAGATGTGCACACAAAACTCAAGTTCTAGAACAAGCCTGAAGTCTAGAAGTGGATAAACAACTAGAACTTTCTGCCGGAGTTTACAGCTGGTGAAAACCAAGAAAGATTTATTACACTAGCCGTCCCATGTGATTTTGTAGGGGTCTCAACGGTGAAGAGGTCATGCCATTTGCCTTACGCTCTGAAGGACGTGGGTTTGTTTCACGGACACACCTTTCAGTTCAGGAGTACAGTATTTACATATATCCCTAAGAGTTGTCACTGGAGATATGAAGTTTGTGCTATGTGAGTCTCTCATGCTTAAACACAAACCAAATTACAGCAATTTTGAAAAATAATTTCTAAATTTCCCCTCTTTTGTTGACGTGCTTATAAATGCCAATGTCTTTACAATGTGATGAATTTCTGGTAACATCTGCAGCTGTCAATATCATTTAAATATAAGAAAAATCTTTCATTTCTGTTGCCTCATTTTTCTTCACCATCTGGTTGTTAAATGAATCCATTAGATAAAAATACACATAACTTCTCAGTATGCAGCTTTTGTACTTGTTTTTATTTCATATTTTTCCTGAAGTTATTATATTTTGTGTCCTGTTAATTCTAGTCTTCGCAAGTTTGCTTATTAAAGTAGCGTATTGTTTTAGTGTCATTAAGGATGTACTGAAGTATGATCATTAAATATTTATGTGGTAGTATGAATGCTAAACTGAGACATACATTGTATCATTTATGTTATTTTGTCAATAATTATATTGTTTTTTTTTATTAATGAAGGCATGAACAGATTACTTATAATAATAAACATGAAGAAGAAATTTGTGAAAAACAGCACAACGTGCATCTCAAAAGTTTTTTTTGTTTTGTTTGTCTGTTAACACCAGCAATGCGTAGTGTTTATGTTAGCCTTTAAATGTTGGATCCTGACTATTGTGAAGGGGTCTCCTTGGAGTTTTTGGAGTCTTCCCCAGCATTGCTGGTGTTTTTGACAAGCTTTCAGACATTAGATTTTCCAAGTCAACTCTGGTGTCTTCAATATTTGCAGTTATCCTGGAACTTTTCAGCGGGGTAGCAAATACACCATAGTTTAATGCACTTGTATCATGCATTCTGCTTGCTGATTCAGGCAGATATTTAGTTCCTTTGCCAGGCACAGGTTTAGAAACAGCAGGTGTTTTTACAGCTTTTCGTCCTGCAGTTGCATTTCTTTTTACCACAGAGGAAGAAGCGGGTAAAGTTTTAGACTCTGCAACATTCTCATCAGCTTCATTTTCAGAGTGTGAAATGATCTGTTCCACTGAAGCTTGAGAAAAACCTCCATCCCCTCCATCAGTAACGGCACAGGAATGTTTATCATTAATTACTGCCTTGTCAGTCATCTGTGAGACCTTTTTGATAGCATCCCACTGTGCATAAAGGGTGTCTCTAAACTTCTGAAGCAGCTTAACACATTGTTTTTCTGTAACAACCATGGCCATATCCTCACACATTGCACATAAATCTTTGAGCAGGCTGGCGTTTTCTGGGCTAACACTCAACTGACTTAGCACTCTGAGCCACAGTTTCGTACTGAATGAATCTGGATGTGATATTATCTCGTTGCACAGTTTGACAGCTATGTTATCATGACAAGGGTTTTCCAGAACTGGGGTTTTAGATTTTTGATTATCAATCAAATGCTGAGCATCGGTAAGTTCCATAAGGAAAGTTGCCACATTGACTTCATTGATTTCTCTTAAAGGAGAAGTTGACGGGGCATGCAACAAAGTACGCAGAGTTGGTATAAAAGCTTCTTCAATCTGCTGTTGATTTGAGCTGCACGAGAAAGCATACAATGGGAAAAAAACTCCCAAGCACTGTAATAGGGCCTCATCATCTTCAACAAGAGGATTGTACCACAAAAGCAACAAGTGAGACAACAGTTTGGAAGACACAACACGGCCTGAGAGAAGCAGCTTAGACATCCCTTCAGCAGCAATATTTCGCAGTTCTGAACTCTCGTTGTCCAAGAAAGAACTGAGAATAGCTATAACTTTGCCTGCAGTTTCCGTCCAGCCTTTTCTATCATTTTCATTCAAATTCTCTTTGGTCGTGTCGGCATCTTCACCTGCAGAATTCATAGTCACATTTTGCTGCTCTTCTGTATTGTCAAGTTCCTCATGATCCTTCACTTCACCATTGATACTTGTTTCTTTACTTACAGATGTATCCTCATCGCTAAAGGCATCCAGGCCGAAAACATGGACCAGGTCAAAAACAGATTTCAATGCTGTTGCTTTCACAAGCTGAGTATCCATCTGAGCGGCCTGCAACAAGAGTGCTAAATGATGCATAATAATGTCCTTTTTGATGAGACAACATAAGCCAATGGCTTTGACTGCTGCATTGCGAACTTCAGACTCCTCATTCACCATGCCTGGCAGGATCTGGCTTTCCATGAGAGCTTGCAGTGAGGGAGACAAGGTCTTCACATTGATATTCATCAGCAGCTCACATATTATAGTTAAACACTTTAAGATAGTGACAGAATCATTCTTTTGAATCCTTACTTCCTCAAGTTTAGGCTTGGATGCCTCCATCAGCGAAGAGCGCTCACCATCAAGCTGATAAATGTCTGCTTTCAGGCGTGCAGCATTTTCAAAATCTTGCTTCTCAATGCAGTCACTAAGCTCCTCCCTCAACTGATGCAACTTGACTCGTATGCTGGCAATCTTTTTATCCACATTTCTTTGAGCGTCTGCATTTAATGATTCTTGCGTTTCAACGGTGGTGATTGGTTCCCTGATATCTGAAATTGTTTCGGCAATACAGTTGATAAGGTCCTCTGTGTCAGTGTGGACTTTCTTCATGCAGGACAAGATATGAGGAACCAGGGCTGGTCCAATGCTGTCCAACACCAACATACCATGGAGCAGTTTTTCTGTTGCCTTTCTGCTAGCTTCATCTGAGAAATCCATCAGTGTAATAATATGGAGAAGTTGCTGAAGAATAAACTCAAGTTCTATCCTTCTCTCCATGTCTGAGCAATCAGCCATTAGCTTGGTGAAACTCTTTATGTAGGCACAGAATTCAACACAGTTGGGACAGACTTGATCAAACTGTTCCACATAATCGTGACCTTCTCCGTGTATAAACTGAACAAGGTTGCGCCAGTAAAATGCACTTTCACAGGTAAGATTAGCCTCGTCTATCAGAGCTCTTTCATTGATCATATCAAACTTCTGCACCAAGTTCAGTATTCCAGAATTCTTGAAAAGAATACACAATGCCTTTTCACATATCTTAACAGAGCTTTCTACATCCAATCTGGAGAGAAGTTCCAGCACATTGCCTTCACAAGCGGACAACCAGGCTTGAAGCAACTTACTGGAACAGGCAATCTGCACAGCTTCTGATCTATCACTAAGACCATCCTGCAGAAGCTGAATTCGTTGCTCAAAGTTAAGTGCTTTCAGTGGAATCTTTTCTGCAATGACAGTAAATGCAGTTCTTCGTACTGTATCCTTCACATCATGTATACGCTCAAGGATTGCAGACAACGAGAATGTGGAAGGAGCAATGCAGGTCAGAACAATGCGCCTCACTTCTGCATTAGGATCTCTTGTCATCAGAATGATATAAGCTTTTGTGATAGGACAGTTCTCATCTGCTGGATCTTGCAGCCTGGTCAGTGCCAACACAGCATGGACCCTCACAAGTGGACATTTGTCTCGGAGTCGCTCCACCATGCACTGGTAGAGGCGATAGTAAAGTGCATCATCTATCTGTGCTCCTTCACCAAGATTATGTAGAAGTTGTGTGACAAGCTGACACACACGAAATCGGACAGCTCGCTCCTTTGCACTGTGCACATCAAGTAAAAATGAAAATAATCTCATTAGCAATGGATGCATGTCTTCATCTTCTTCATCCTCATCTATGACATCCTTCTTTTTCTGCTTGGAAAGTTTCAATTGCTTTGAGTGTACTAAAGTGAGATCGGTCACAGCTTTAGCAATAAACTCGACTGTCTTCTCTACTGCTGGTTCCCTTGCATAAACCACAAATGGATGCTTGATTAGTTTCAAAAATTGCGTCCAAAATTCTTCAAAAGGCATTTGATCGTATATCTTGTGAAAAGCCTTTATCAACTGATGGTGATTCTGTGAATCTTGACACTCAATAAACACATCTTTCAAGTCACGGGCAGCCATGATATTTCCACTAATATGACTTTCTTAGGTTAACGCCTATGAAACTCAAAGCAACAGTAAGTCAGCAGTCAAAGTTGCAAACATTCGAAGTCACAGTAAATCTGCATGAAATACTAAGAATCAATGCTGCACACAAACAAGCCAGATCTGGAATAAGACTCAAATACATAAGTGGACGAACAACCAGAACTTTCCGCCTGAGTTTACAGCTGGTAAACGCTAAGATGAAACCGAGGAAGTCGAGGGAGAACAACAATATTTAAACTGTCCGCCATTTATCTGCAGGTCAAATATGCACTTAGGAATTATGGGAACTCGTTGACAATTTGAAATTGAAAAAAAAGTCCAACTCCAAAAACACACAAAATAATATATTCAAACTTCACAATATAGTAATTTTAAGTAATAGCGTCTACAGTTATGTATAGGTCAAATTTCCACCCCATCGTGCGCACAAAGATCCTAGTATAGGTTACACATTATTGAAAACTAGGAGGCAATGACAAACTGGCCATATTTAAAAAAAAAGTTAATCACACAATTTACAGCAGTCCTGGTAAGTATCATCATCATCAGGTGCCTTGCTGACTGTTGTGGGCGATCGTGCCTCTCCATAGTCTGCGATCTCCTGCAGCATGTATTAGTTCGTCTGCTGACACAACTCCATGTCATGCAATAAGTCTGCCAAGAATCTTCTCTCGTTGTCTTCTTCCATAGATCTTTCCAGGGGGCACAAAATGTTCCATTTTTCCCTCTTCTCATAACATGGCCAAAAAATGATGACTCTCTCCTTTTGATGTCTGTGATTAGTTGTCTTCGGGCTCCCGCTTCTTTCAAAACCTCTTGGTTGCTCTTTTTAGCTGTCCAATCTATTTTAAATATTCTTCTGTAAAACCACACCTCTGGGGCTTCAAGAAATTCTTTGGCCTGCCGACCGATTGTCCAGGACTCATATCCATATGTTAAAACTAGATGTATGTAGCAAGCCAGAATTCTTTTTCTAACCATCAGTGACAAAGATTTATTGCATAAGATGTTCTTCATTTTATAAAAATGCAGTTTTTGACTGTCTTATTCTGTTTCTTGTCTCAGTAATGCATCTTCCATCTGATGTTATCCATGTGCCCAGATACTTAAATTTCTGCACTTGTCCTAAAATAACACCATTTGCTTTTATAATACATTTAGAAATAATTCTTTACTTTGATACCACCATTGCTTCGGTCTTCCCATTATTCAAACTAAGGCCCATTTTTCCACTCTCTACCACTACAATGTCTATCATTTCCTGTATTTCTTTCTGACTTGTTGCTATCAAAACTGTGGCATCAGCAAATTGTTTATTTTGTGCCCACTAACCACAATTCCGGGCATATCAATTAAAGATCTCATTATATATTCACTGTATAGTGAAAATAAATCAGGTGACAGTACACATCCTTGTCGTACGCCCCTCTTTATGCTCTGAAATGTACCTGACCAGTTGTTATTTCTTATAGCTGCTGTTTGCTGCCAATACATATTCTTTAAAGAAAATATGGGCTTTTGAGCTGAAATGTTACAGAAAGATACTCAGAATATCTTGGACAAAGAGGAGAAATACTGACATCTTGAAAGATAAGAACATCAAGGAAGTTAATAAACAGCATCCTGTCTAGGATGCTGAAATATTTTGGTCATATCAAGCGCCTCGACGAATTGGAAAAAAATATAGCAAAAGGCATGGTACTAGTGGTACCAGGAAGGAGGGGCAGGGGCCGACTGACACGAAGATGGGCACAGGATATAAGTGACTCCTTGAGTATGAAAGTACTTGAGGTGGGAGAACTGGCGAGAGGCCGAGTTTCTCTCACGCAGACTGTGATAAGAGCGACATTCTTCAAAGGACCTGCTACATGATGATGATGACATATTCTTTATTATGATTTTCCATCAATGTAACATATCGTCATCATCATCACGCCGGGATGCATAGGCATATGCGCCGGAATTTGGTGGCTCAGGTCCCCTGGGTCTCCAACACAATTGTAGGTGGCTACAATAATTCAGTAGGCACTAAAATATCTCATTTAACCATTTATACAGTGCATGATAATCCGAATGATTGTATAGGAGACCCGTTGACATGTGTAAAGTCGTGGATAGCACTAGCTGAAGTTACATCGGGCATGTGGCCTCAGTCTAGCACACACGAGACACGGACACACACACAACACTACAGCAGTTCCCAGCAGGCCATTATCACTTTAGGCAGAGAATTAAGAAAGTTGTGTATGGTATTATTAGAGGTACAACAAATGGAAAAGAAAAATGTAGGCGAGATTACGCAACAGTTTACATCAACAGTTCTGTTCATCGGGGTGAAAGATCTGGCTGTTTTTTATTTTTTTTTTTTAAGCTAGATTGAAAGGAAAGATGGTGGCATAACAAAATAGTGTTGTCTACAGCGTCAAGCATGATGACAGTGGTGGAGGCAATCACTGCAGCTCTGAAGTGGATGGCAGAAAACACAGAGTTGCAAGGTGAATTAAAGTGCCAGTGGATACCAAGCCTCAGCTTGTCAACATTATAGGACACACTATGATATACTGTCCACTTATATTCTTTTCTGCCTTGTTATGAAAACGTCTGCTCTGTGGCTAAGTCGATGCGAACGCTTCTTAATGCTGGGTTCGATCCCAGCTGCGGGCCATGCTCAATGCGTTGGTTTCGACAGTGATATCAGGGGGCCGACTGTTCAAGAAGCAATGGCAAACTACTGGACGTAAATTTGCCTAGAGAAACCACACAACAGCCAGGGGCTGCTAGGGTTGGTTCTGCAACGTCATGTAAAGGATACTTCAGCGATCTCTGGTCATGCGCATAATCCACTGTGGGTCATAAACTGGGATGTCTTTTCAAGGTCTCTTAGGTTTCCCCAAAGCTTAGTTGTCAGTTCTACTGGGTGTTGCCATATGTCGCTCCGCAGCTCCGCCAGGAGAGGACAGTCTTGCAGGACATGTTCTGGAGTCTGTTCAGCACGAAGACACTGGCAGAGAGCTGTTTGGCTCATACCTAATTTATATGAGTGTTTATTGAGTCTGCAGTGTCCAGTGCGTAAGCGAAAAACTGTGACTTGGTCTGTTCTGTTCAAGTGCCTCAGAAAATCTTTTCCGTAGTCATAACCAGTGTTGTTTTTCCAATCTGTTTCTGATTTTCTCTTAATGAGAGTTTTGACTTCTGGAAAAGATAGTGGCTGGTAGGTCTGTAGTTTGTTACTGCCTTCCTTGGCTAAAGCATCTGCGCTTTCATTGCCTTTGATGCCGCAGTGAGACGGAATCCACTGCAAGTGAATTTCTGCCTTATTTGACAACATAGCAAGTTCCTGTGTTAGATTTTGTAGTGTGCTGTCGGTAAGTTTGGACTCAAGGGCCTGTATAGCTGACAGTGAGTCAGTGAGAAAAACTATCCTGCCTGCGGTGATTTGCAGATTGTTCATATACTGTGCTGCCATCAATAGAGCTGAGAGTTCTGCCTTGTAGTTAGAGCAAGTTCGTCCGGTGGGGGCTGCTAGGGACACAGTAGTGGCATCTGGGTGTTTTATGTAAACACCTGCCCCACCATTCGTAGTTGCCTCTTTTGCTGATCCATCCGTGTAGATTCTTGTCCAGCTGTCCTGTGGGAACATGTTGTTGAGGTGTTCCATTGTGAGTGCTTTCTTCACTAAAAATAAATAGAGGGGGGAACCATTTGAGGCCGTTAAATATTATGAATTAATCAAGTAACAGAAAGTATTGTGAACGGCACTCATAGAAAGAAGTAGAAAGATAGAAGAACACACTAGACAACATAAAAATCGAAAGCTATAGTTACCGTGCCGGGAATTGAACCTGTCACCTCCAGACGGCGTCTGCGCCTCGCCATGAATACAAGTGCACTAAGATACATGGTCAACTCGGCACCCCCAAAAAAAGGTGTCTCATTGGCCATGTCTATCGTACAGCTTGAAATCCACGACTATGGAATACGGACAGAATTCATTTCAACCCATTGAAATGGCACCATAGGTTTCTTCACTAAAGCGGGCTCAGCATCTTTGTTTCCCAGGTTCGGGATGGATGTTGACACATTGAGTGTCAATAATTCGGAGTCCCAGAGATCGAAAGATAGCTCTTCAGGTGTACATTGTTGGTTAAGTAGTGAAGAGAATGACTTTCCAAATTCCTTCGTTAGATGGTTTAGGCTTGTGCGCTTTATTCTGTTTTTTGTCCTGGCTGCCAATTTTTCGTGTAATGGGTGGTTTAGCATTATCTTCATTTTTTCAGCATGTAGAATTGCTTTTGTCCTTCGTCTTTCTTCTAAGGGGATGATGTTGGCTGCCTTTTCCATTTCTACTATAGGTGTAGATTTTATGGCTCCCAGAATTGTACGCAGACTTCTATTTTGCGTTTTGTCTAGTATCTGTTTATTGGAATGGTAAAGGATACGCAACTAACCTGTTATGAAAACAGATTCAGAGAAAACAGTATTTCTTCTTTGATCCTTCAAAAAACGATCAAGTGCTTTCCCCTTTACTCAGCCAACGAACGTCATTGTGCAGAATTAAGTTTTTGTAATCTGCTTCCGTTTCTTCAAGTAACTGCCAAAATAACCAGTGCTGAAAACTTGATGAGGATCGAATAAAATGAATTATTTTCATCACCATATCAATTGTTTCTTATATCTTGTCGCTCAGTTTGCTGCACATAACAGCGAAAATATTTTTTTAAAGTAGCACATGCTGTAGTTTTCTATGATGTGTTGTTTCGAGTACAAAAAAACTCCTACAAAAAATTCTGCTGCTATGCTGATAGGCAGGAATCAACGACTCAACCTTTCATTTCTTAGCAGTGAAACCTTCTGAATATGATTTTCCCAAACTAGCATTTTTCGTTGAAAAGTGCCGCTTCACGTTAACTGACTGACTGACTTTCTACCCCACCAGGACATCACACAAGCGATAAACACCCGATGACACAATGTGCCACCATGTGGATGGGGATCACAGTGGCGAGGTCCCAGAAACCACATTCAGCCATTAGGCTATATTTATGGCCTGGCTATATTGCGGCCCCTTGCAAGAGCCAGGGTGGGGCTTCAAATAATGAAAAATTTCACCCTAAAAAGGACGGTGAATATACCACCCGCTTCACGTTGTACTCCTTTACTGCCGACACACATTAGTTGCATAGCAAGCACACTGGTTTCGAATTAGGCATAGTTAATGAAATAAATAAATATTTAAGTGTCCAGTCATTGTCGAATACACGATTTTCACATTCCCACTTTGCTTTCTCACTAGTAGGCCTACTAGCTATGGTATCAAGTATTTAACTAAATTATTAATATTTAGATAACTTCAAACACTGTTACTGTTTCAGTTTGTTACAATACAATCTCGCCCGGCAATCTATGTCTGGCTGTGATTTTTTGTGTGATTTAATTTCACGAAAAATCTGATTATAATCTGATAACAAAATCAGTAGCAGGTGGTCTGCGGTGTCCAGTGTCACTAATGCTCTACAGCATTTATTGTCATTATTCTTTGTGTACCAGAGGTCACCATTAAGGAGAGTTTCTCGGTAATCTGAGCTCTATCTGGACAGTGCTTTTATTTTGTTACGCCTCCTGCCCAATAAATATCGCACCTTCATTGACTGTCTATTGGAGCGATTGCTTCCAACCAGTTACTTGATTCTTTCCAGCCCATCTAATTACCTTTGGCTTCAAACAGGCGAGTTATGCATTTCAAAGTGACTTTTGCAATGAACTAATTATATTTCCATGCCTGAGATATTCCCGCAGTTGTGGTATTGTTTGTTCATATGCTCGTTCGCTTGCATCTTCGTATTTAGAGATCTTTGACAAACATTTCCTGTTGTCACATTCGACACAACTGGTTTTTGAAGATATATACAGAAACATTGATTGATTTAATTTTTTTAATATGCTAAATTTTAATGGCAACGATCGACGGGCCACTCGCTATTCCTCAACGTCCATATCTGGTCCGCTGGCCACCAATTGAATAGCTCTAGCTTAGATGGTGTGTTGTACCAAAAGTGGTGCCTTGTTTTCCCTAAATGTGTTTAATGTTGTCGCACTGAACATGTCTTGTTCATTTGTATTGCGTGCCCATGTTGAAATTGAGTACAGGCAGTTTCCCAGGCAGTAGGTACCCCCTCGCTACGTCACTGATAGTGCCAAGTGTTACTACAGTCTGGCTCTGAAAACGTTGTAGGAATAGCCAGAGCAGTCTAAACCTCTTAGGGACTCCAGCTCCGTATATTTCTTCAAGGTTTACTCCCAAAGCGCTTATCCTAAATGTGGCATTGCCGCAAGGCAATGGAGGTTTGAGATAAGATTCCCCCCTCACCTAGATGAGATGCACTCCTGTATTGACGAACCTCACCTGTTCGAAGCATCTGGTATAGCACTAGAGACCAGCTTTCGCAATTTCTCATGCAACGAGAAGGCCAGGACAAGACTGCCTTAACTCTAACCCCCCTCTCCCCCATAACTAGGAATTCTTTACGAAATCTTGAAGCCGACGAGCTGTGGTCGTATACAATTAAGGTTCCTTTTACCTTCACAGAGTAATGAGACCATAATGGCATATTCCGAAACTCTCTGGTCCTATGCTAGTTTCATTTTTGAACCCCCCCCCCCCCCGCGCATATTCACTAAAGTACCTATAACTACTCTAGGCAAAAGCATAAGAAGAAGCAGCACACCACTGCCTACGCCAGTCGGCAGCGCACCTGATAATGTTTGCAAAGTTATAAGAGAAACAGACGATAAATGTAGCGCTATATTTAGACAAGGTTCACGGCGCATGCGCTCTATATGGCTAGTGTAATACTTCAGTCAGTGTTGGGGAACGACGAGGACGATCGACATGGCTAACTTATTAACACTTGTTATAGCTTCTGTTGTTGCTTTAGCGGCATACCCTTCGTTGGCAAACAGTAAGTTTACGTCATTTTTATACTGTTGACAATTATATTTCATGTTCTGCAGGCTGTGTGTCTTGTTATTAAATATCAAATTTTTTTCGTCGGTTTAGTAATATCAAAGTTCATCATGATCATTCAACATGGCGTGCGGTCAGCTGATCGCTTGTATGGATTTATGTGGCTCCCAGAAATCACTAACTCTTAACATCGTGATCAACATCCTTTATAAGTGAAATACATGGGCAGAATGATTTTCAACACCATCATGTAATCATAATATTGTAATGTGTGTGTAATAATTTTCCCATTCCTGTATTGATAAATATCTGAACATGTGGCTTGTTCATATGGATAGGTAGAGTCAAAAACACTGATCTGATGTGTGGTTGTGGTGACCATTAGAGATGGTGAAACAGGACATCTTACACCAGGGCTATTCAAAATTAAACTAGCGAGGGCCTAGTAAGTGGCCTGCGGTTATTGCTAGCTATAATAATACTAATGATGTTTCTATGATTGGACTCGGGCTGCTGACCAGTGGCAATTCCTGTTTCCAAAATGGCCCCTGAGTAAACTGAGTTGAATAGTCCTTACATGGCACATGATGAATGTGGTAAAATTCAAACTGGTTTCTATGTGGAAAAGAAAAACTGAAAGCTGTGACAATAATTAAAAAAAAAACAGAAAAACATCTCTTTATTAGTCATTGCGAGTGTTTGATGACATGTGTTGGCCGTGCAGTGAGATCATCTATGTCACATGCGGAAGATTGAGTTAGTATTTAAAAAAAAAACCCAGAAACAGGTATGTCTTACCTTACTAAATAATAAACAATATTTATTTTTTAAATTTGTTTTATTCTTCTTCTTCGCGTTCACCAGCGGTACACTGGCGGAAAGTTCTGGTTGCTCGTCCACTACTGAACTGCAGTCCTGCTCCGGAACCTGAGTGTTGCGTGTGCATCAGTTTTGCAGATCTCATTCTCTTGAATACAGACTGTTGGTTCCTTGCCTCTTCGGCAGATGCACTCCGACTTCAAAGGAAGCTCCCCAATTAGTCGACTTTTACGACATGCTTTTGGGAAGGCAGTGGGTCTATTCTTGTTTTCCCCACAATGGGGCCCCGGAACCCACACAGGGGATTTGTTTTATTAAACCCTATCACCTACACCTTCACTTGGGTTCCAGTTTCCTGAGAGTTACTTTTCCAACTTGGCTTTAGTGGCCTGTTCATGGAGTGCCTAGTTTACAACACTGTTATCACTTGTGCCTGTGTACACAATTGGCAGCACTGTGGATGTGAATATGTGGCTTTATGATGCAGTAATTTTATCTCTAGTCAGCTTTAACCTGCGATAGGGTTTTAAAAAAATAAGTCGCTATATAACAGTTTAGTTTTTAGACTCTGAGAGATGTGAGTTAACTCTCTACTGCTTTCCTGTTTACTGATAATTATCAGTACTCTATATGGAATTTAAAATTGTTTTTGCAGTAAATGGAAATGTTAACTATTTTTGTGTGTGACCAATGTAAAGTGGTTTTATTTTAAAATGTTTTTTTTTTTTGAGGACTCCCTAATTGACATTTTTTTAGGTCACCTGAGTGAAAGGGTTAAGATAAGTTTGCTGTGGGCCGCCTGTAGCTTAGGATTTATGCACATGATTTAATAATTCCAGCCTTCTTAGTTTGATTCAACTGCAAGTGTTTTGACAGAAGGGTTCATACCTTTTAGAAAGCAGTGGCAAACTGCTGAATGTCAGATTGCTGTGTAGAACCACACACAGCAAACACATACTTGGTTTGGTTAGCAGCAGCTTTTCAGTCCCAAGCAATTGTAATATTAACTTCTTTTGTCCTAAGGAGTTAAGCTACAAATCAAAGAAAATAATTATGCATGCATGAGTTAAACAGAGAGTCAATAGGCCAGAAGTAACTAAACTAATAATTCAGATATAAAGGTTTAATATTGCCCCAGTCTGTGGTACAAGACAGCAGAGACATATATTTGGAGACATCCAGAAATATATAGTGAGTGGTTGGGTAGTGGAAGAGTTAATAAGCACTTAAACAAAGTTGTGTGCGTCATATGTCTATCAGTGTTATAATTGAACTTCCATGTGTGGGTTTTGGGCTCTATTCTCAGGGTAAAAAAAAAGAATAGACCCACTGCCTCTCAACAAGCATGTGAATAAAAGTTGACTAACTGGGGTGTATCCTTTGAAATCGGAGTGCATCTGCCTGAGAGGTGAGGAGCAAACAGTCTGCATATAAATTAAGTCAGATAAGAAGCCCTTGATTTGTGGACTCTTAGACATCCTGTTGGGGGCGGGAAAAGAAGCGGGTCTGTTTATTTTTTCCCTACAGTGACACTCTGGAGTCGACATGAGGGCCGTGTCTGTTTCACAGATGCAGTAGGCACTTAACAAGTACAGTTTTTACGCACATTTCTGGGGTTTGTTCGCAACTGTGGAAGTCATGCTTTGTATGAAGCCCTCAGCAGGTGGCTAACTTCCTATGGGGAGAGACATATCATGTTTATATAAAATAACATAAATTACAGAAAATTTGTTCTATACATATAATGGAACATTTACACAACACATAAAATGCAACAGTTCTATAAATATAATAGAATATTTGTGCAATAATATTATGGAACATTTAATTTCTATGTAGAATGGAACATGTATTCTCTATGTAGAATGGAACATTTATTCTCTATGTACATTGGAACATTTATTCTCTATGTACATTGGAACATTTATCCCACCCAAAAAAGGTAAAGGTCACATTTTATGCCAGTGGTACATCGGGGATATGAGGCTAGACTTTTTTTTATAGGCCAGTTAGCCATTGATGTGCGATGTGGTCAGCACCACTCTAGCCACCTTTACTTTCCAAGATCTAGTGCCCATTTAAGGCTGTTCAACCTGGAAGTCAAGGTCGTGTTTAAAATCCACGACATTTAGGTCCGCAGACGGGCACCTAACCGCTGCGCCATGGTGGCTCTTGGAACATTCGTATTATACATACATTGGAGCAGGTGTTCTATACATATAATGCAACTTGCCTACTGTACAAAATGCAGAATTGTATTCTTTACATATAATGCAAGCTACATACTATACCTACAGTGGGACATTCAAAGAGCTTGTCTAAACAACAGTTACATATTATTATTGGCCATCCTAGAGGTTTCTGAAATAACACCATTTGATATTTTACAGATAATGTGCCAACAATTGTGCCCAGGCATAAGGAGTTGCTGCTGAAAGTTGGCACCACACAATATTTGAACTGCTCAGTCACCAGCCCTTCATATACCACAGATTTGCAATGGACTTACCCAATAAGTGAGAAACTGGTGGCCATGAGGAAGAGCATGAATCCACTTGGATCCTTGTATACCTTTAATGCCATGCTGCAGATTCTTAACTTTGACGAAGCCAGCGCTGGTGTGTACAGGTGCAGTGTGAAGGGAAACGACACAGTTTTAAGCAGTGAAATCTCTCTGATAGCTGTTGCAGGTAATTTTACTGTTGTGTTTTTTAAACTTAAATGTGATGATACACTTGCGCATCACCCCAGCTGCAAAGCTAGTAGGGCTGTATCGAATAGTGATTTTCACTATTCGGCCAATACAAATAACGGGACCAACTATTCGACCGAATACGAATAGTGTATAAAATGAATCTAAAAGACCCAATTCATAATGTCAAATGTACGCTGAACTTTTACTTCACATAAAGTAGCACAGAATAGTCATCTTCTTCTTTGGCATTCTGAGCTCTTGAGGTTTACTGCTGCAGATATCACTCGTCTCCATTCATCTTTCTGGCTGGCCTTCTCTTCACAATATGTGACACCAGTTGTTTGCAGGTTTGGCTGGACATTATCTCTTGAACTGCTTTTTTATCTGCCTCGTGGTCTACGACCATTCATCTCCCTTGTGTATACAGTTTTTACTTGTCTGTCATCTGACATTCTTTCAATATACCCTAACCATTTTAGTCTGTTAGCTCTCATGATGCCAGTGCTGGTGATTTAAACAGATTATGTATTACGTTGTTGCTTCTCTCCATTCCCCGCTGTTAGGATCTTTGATGGTTCCAAAGATTTGTTGTAAGACTGTTTTTGAAAACCTGTAATAAGGCCTCATCTTTTTTAATTCTGCTTCAAGTTTCAGAGCCATATAAGACGACTGGTTTTTTCAACGTTTTATATATTTTGATCTTGGTGTTGCGAGACAGACACTTTGACTTTAGCAGATGTTGAAGGGCATAGTACACTTTAATTCTATATTATATTGAATATTGTATTTCTTCTCTCAGCATATTGGAACAGTTGAAGTTTACACCCAGGTACTTATATGTTTTCTGTTCGTTGGATTTTCATATTATCGACTTGGATGTTCCGGAGTTTATATTCTTTCCATGTCTAGTTAGTATTCGTACGGAATAGTAAACATGTAAAAACATTTTATGTTTTGCATCCTTCAGTCAGTCTGTGGTAACTAATAACTAGGAATGAAAGAATCCTAAGTATTATAACAAGTAACTAAACTTGGAAATTGTCACTGACAGCTTAGTTATTGCATGAAAGCTGCATTAGCTTTCAACAAAACTAATCATTCCATGTTGTCAGCCTTAAGGCCGTGTATGCAGAAGTGGGTGTAAGGTAACTACTATACGTATTCGGCTCGACCGCAACTATTCAGCTGAATACCTAATAGTTAATAGGTCCACTATTCGGCTCCGAAGCGAATACAAAGCGAAAATTCGGTACAGCCCTAACAGCTAGTAAAGGACAGGAAACATCTAACTCTTCTCTGCGACACTTCAAGGCGTAAGCAGTGGGACAAAAGAAGAAGATGCACTTGCCACAGACATCAGAAAGTAGCAGTCAGCATAATTTTACTGTCTCTTCTCATTATTCACAGGCTGTAAACTCCAGGAGAATGTTCTGTTTTTTCATCTGCTTCTAGATTTTTTACTTTTTCTTCTTTGCGTTCGGTTTCATATGCTCAGATCAGACCATCAGGTGGGTTGTCCCTTTGAACTCGCATGTCAGCAGCAGGTCCTTTATGGTTCCACAAAGCTTGCTCTGCACACTTTGCTCTTGAGGCCATATGTCTTTTTTTAAATTGTATGTACAATGGGCAGGTTTGCAGAATATGCTCAGATGTTTGTGGTCCTGTTTGACACGCACACTGTGGCACTGTACAATCTTTATTTTATACATGTGGTAGTTGAGCCTGCAGTGTCCTGTACGTAGACGGGAAAATTGTTGTATGTTGCTTTCTGTTGAGTCTGCTGATGGGGGGTCTTGTGGATGTTTACTGTTAGTATGTTCTCTCCACAATGCCTTGTATTTTACCTGGATAAGTGTTTGATTACTGGCAATGACCACGAATGAGTGTTTTTTTTTTCCTTTGTTCCATTTTTTGCAAGTCTGTCAGCTAATTAATGTATGCCGCAGTGAGTCGGGATCCCCTGGAAAATGATTTAATTGTATGATTTTGTGTTTGATCTTGTTCCAGAGTTTTGCCCGCGCATCCATTTACAAACATGTATCAGTAAAAACTGAGTGATGTAAGTCAGAATCAGACAATTAAAATACATGTGCACCAGGGACATGAAACATGCACACCTGGGACAAGATACATGCACACCTGGGACAAGATACATGCACACCTGGGACAAGATACATGTGCACCTGGGACAAGATGCATGCGCACCAGGGACAAGATGCATGTGCACCAGGGACAAGATACATACACACCAGGGACAAGATACATACACACCAGGGACAAGATACATACACACCTGGGACGAGATACATGTGCACCAGGGACAAGATACATACACACCTGGGACGAGATACATGTGCACCAGGGACAAGATACATACACACCAGGGACAAGATACATACACACCTGGGACGAGATACATGCACACCAGGGACAAGATACATGCACACCTGGGGCGAGATACATGCACACCTGGGACGAGATACATGCACACCTGGGATGAGATACATGCACACCTGGGACGAGATACATGCACACCTGGGACGAGATACATGCACACCTGGGACGAGATACATGCACACCTGGGACGAGATACATGCACACCTGGGACGAGATACATGCACACCAGGGACAAGATACATGCACACCTGGGACGAGATACATGTGCACCAGGGACGAGATACATACACACCTGGGACAAGATACATGTGCACCAGGGATGTATGTACACCGGACATTTCCCCCATTGTAATAAACAAATGACCAATTAGAAGTACATGAAGTGAAGTGTTTGACCTAACCCATGACACAGATGATTTCCTATGCCACACTGTCAGACTGTCCAGCATCTGATCTCTTGGTCTTTCTCTCTGCTCCCCCTTCTCCTCCCTTTTCCAACTGCCAGGATCTACTCCACTTTTCTCCTTCCCATGACAGGACAAAAGCATGCAGATTTCTTTGTGAGTCACTTTTTGTTGGTTTCGTTTTCTCTTTTTATCAGTCTATGAGGTTCTAATTTGCCTGTAAAACCACATCCTTAAAAGCTTTCACCCAAATTTATTCAGGGCCTGTTTCAGCACAATCTTGAAAGGGAAGGTATTTCTTCAAAATTGTATAGTCTGCCTGCTACTGTAAAATACACAGGCATAGCTTTATTTGCTCAGTTTGATTAAAACATGCGTTATTTAAAATGGGCATCTTTTTTAAAATATAAGCCTTGATTCTAATTTCAGAGAACAAGACAGAGCCCAGATATGTCAAGGATGAGGCAGCTGCCACCTTGTTCTGCAGCATCAGTTTTGAATCAAACAGGTCAATCACTGGCATCACATGGTTGAAAGTCACAAACAAAAGCAGCGGTCGCACTGAAGAGTTTGTTTCTAAACTCAAGAATGCAGATAATTACAAAGAAGAAAATACTTCACTAACCATCAGCAATCCTAGTAAGTATCATGTCCTTTATACACTATTTTGCTGTTGGCAGTAGAGGCGCTGACCCGCACATGGTGCTGCAGAGCTGGGACTCAAACTGGTCAGGACCTTTCTGCATCACTCCGTGGACGCCCTAGGAACAGGTTTCCAGATGGAGGCCTGGCTAACGCTGAAAGATAGGATTGGCATTTTGTTCAAAGTAATTCTGCCTGAGAGGTGAGAACCAACAGTCTGCACATAAAGAAGCCAGATCTGTAAAATGGATGTGCATGCAACACATAGAACCAAAGTGCAGATGTGGAAAAACAATGAAGACTTTCCACCAGAGTTTACTGCCAGTGAACCTGAAAAAAGAAGTTGTAACAGTGAGTTTGTTAGTTAAAAATGAATGGTGAGTGACCATTTGCAAAACTAAGCTTATGTTGAATTGGTAGCTCAGTAGTAATTGTGTGTTGCATAGGGCAGTGTTTCTCAAACTTTTAAACCCTCACCCTACCAAAAATGCTGGACATTATTTCACAGCCCACTTGACAGTTTACCAAAGGGGAAACAAAAACAAATGTAGAAAGCGGTTTATTTGTTAAACCTGATCTCACAAAATAGAAATTTTAAGCTAATGTGACATCTGCTGCTGCCTGAGAAATCTTTTAACACAAATCGGAAGTCTTTGAGGTGTTAACTGTACAAAGTAGAGAGAGAGAAAAACCACATACCCTACGTCATTATATGATAAAATATAATTTGTTGGTGGCCCACATAAACTTTTGTTGCCGCAGCCCACGAGTTGAAGAACACTGTTACAGGGTACTTGCTCATGGATGCCTTACTGGTGAGTCAAGCCTTGTGTACATCATCTGGCAGCTTTTACTGAAACACTGGACCCATCAAGAATACAAACCATGAAGGATGGAGAGTGAGAAGCCACCATAAAATTCAAGGAACGCTAATTACTTGCATCGTGAGGGCCAGGAGACTGCAGAGGGTGTTGTCTACTGAGAAAATGACAGACATCAGAGACCAACACTGCTCACACTAAAGAGTTGAATGTGGAATAGACCACAAGATAGTGAATAGAAGACAGTGAAGAGATAATTGATGTGAAATAGACCACAAGACAGTGAAGAGATAATTGATGTGAAATAGACCACGAGATAGTGAATAGAAGACGGTGAAGAGATAATTGATGTGGAATAGACCACAAGATAGTGAAGAGATAATTGATGTGGAATAGACCACAAGATAGTGAAGAGATAATTGATGTGGAATAGACCACAAGACAGTGAATAGAAGACGGTGAAGAGATAATTGACAGGCAGACCTACCAAACACCAGTAAAATAGATTAGGACTGGCAGAGATAATGGTGGCGGGTAATTTTTGTATCATTGAACCTCAGAGGCTCATAATGCTGAAGAATAAAAAAAAGTGCATTTGCGAGTACAAATATTTAGTATACTGTGTTTTTTAAAGTATACATATTCAAAAGCCGCTTAGATTATATAACTAAACAGTTAGTATACTGTGTTTATAAAGTATACAAATTCAAAAGCCGCTCAGACTATATCACTAAACGTTGACTGATTAAACTTGAAAATTTTCAGAAATTGATGATGCTGGCCTGTATATAGCCAGGTTTACAATCAATGGGGATGAAACAAACACGTACGATTGTGAAGTTGGATTTGAAGGTAAATATTACTTGTGAACTTGGTGTTTATTTGTGAGCTTCTATTACATGCACATACACATTTTGAGGGTTCTTAATTCATACCATGTCAGTTTATACACACTTTTTGTGAGGTTTTTAAAAGAAAGCCATTGTACTAATTATTAATGTTATAACAGAATGAACTATTCGTAATAAATATTGATTTAAAGAAAACATTCAAATGAACACAAATCTTTTTTTGTGTGTTTTTTAAAAATTTATTCACACCTTGCTGATTTTGAGTATCAATGAGGTTGTTAATATTGTATATAGTTTAAATATATGTGTGTGTATATATATATATATATATATATATATATATATATATATATATATATATATATATATATATATATATATATATATATATATATATATATATATATATATAAAAAGTGCCTTGCCAGTTGGCGTAGCCATCCATGCATGGCCACAGGTCTCGGTCTTTGGTATTCTGGATCAATTCCAGGGATGATATTCCTCCATGCCACTGTCTTAAGGCGTCCACCATAATTTCTCTTGGTCTGCTTCTTCCTTTTCTACCAGTGATCTTTCCGGTTGTCACTATTTTTTAGTGCTCCTTTTCACATCACTTGACCAAAGAACTTTGTCTCCTTCTTGTTGTTGTGAATCATTTTCTACTTACATTGGCCATTTCTAGGCAATCATTGTTAGTTATTCTGGCAGTCCAAGGTATTCGCAACATTTTTCTCAAGAACAACATCTCAATTGCCTTCAAACTCTTTCAATTTGCTCACATTCCGTTTATAACACACATTTATATACACATTTCTTGAAAGTTGAGTTGATTGTTGAACACAATTGTTTAACACATTGTTCATTGTCTTTCTAAGTTTCATTTTGTATTCTGTTGGTGGACTAATGTTTGTTGCTGTGTATAGTTTTAGTATTGTGACTCATACATTTGAATGAAGAACAGCACAGGAAATGTTTGTCTGGCAAGAACGCCTCGGTAGTATTACCACAGAGAGGCTTATTAGAAAAATAAAGTTAGCAAAGTGCATTGGGGAAACCATGCAAAAGAGGCAGTGATGGTATCAAGCAAAAGCTTAGAGAAATGAAGATCAGCTTACGCAGTGCATTAAAGGGAGCTCAGAAAAGGTGACGCATCTACATCAATATTACTCTTTATTGAGATAAAAAAAAAAGCAGTTACTCTGTTGTCTTAATTATAATTGCCGTAACTTGCCTTAGTGAAGAGCTTTCCACACTGTGTCACAACACGTGCATTGGCTGTAGTGGATGTGTCGCTCAAGCACAAATCACCAAACAGAATAGTGTATGTCAGATTCTCATTTATGGGGTTAGTTTAATGTCTGGTTTGCTAGTCAACTAAATTACTGTGTCACAGAATTAATTATGTTTGTCTAAAAAGTTTGTCATCAACATAAAAATTGTGGTAAGCTTTAACATAAGGAGTAAATGGTAATAGCTGTTACTTTGTCAGGTGTTAAATACCATTAATATATGATGCAGACTCCTGTTATTATTGATCACTATGGATTCACTGAAGGATTTTGCTCAATTTATACTACTGTGTTCTTTTGAAAGTAAGCCCCAGCACAATTGTTCAGGTTGTTTATAAGCCCTTTCCCAAAACTAAGCCCCGGTTAAGATCATCAGCTAGAATGAGAGACTTGTTAGAGAATGACCAGTGGGAGTACTGGTGCGCGTTTAGTATATAATAGAGAGAAATCATCATGGAAACACTGTGAAGGAGACTATGGCTAGAGTTGAAAATGCATGAAAACAATCACTGAGACCTGTGTTACCGATGCACTTCAAGCAGGCTGCGCGGACAAGACAATTTTCATGTAATTTAAGGAGAGATTTATTGTTGGGCAGAAGAGAGAGGGATTAGGCTGAATGGTTTTACATGCTGGGATTAGGAGAGTTACGACAATGTTCCAGAAGATGACATGACTGTATTTGAATAAAGGTAGAATTCTATACCTGAATAAATGTAGATTTTTTTATTTATAAATATAAATAAGACAACATTGGAAAGAAAGACATAGTGCATTTGCTAAATTAATATAAAACCTGGTCCTATTTTCTGGGGAACACAGTAGTTGAATGATTTTTGCTGCTTGTGTCATATATTGGGCATTTCTTTTATTTAGCGGCCCCAGAAGTACAGAACTTTGAGAAAGCAAAGAACCTCATTGAGGGAGAGAAGATGGAACTGATGTGTACAGTGAAAGGCTACCCACTGTCAGTTGTCACCTGGTACAAGGACAACAATGTGCTCAACGTGTCGGAGGGCAGCAGACACGAGATTCAAAAGCCATTTGGTGAACATCAAGTGGTGAAATTGTTGGTACAGACAGTGGAGTTTGAGGATGCTGGGGACTACACCTGTAGGGCCTACTCTGCTCAGTTTAATGAGACTTCAGAGAAGACCCTGACAGTAAGAGTTAAAGGTAAGATGCTTTGTTAACTTTGTCAGTTCCCCTGTCCTCCCTATGGAGGTTATCAGGTCCACTTTTAGAGGTATCAAGACTAGACTCAAAATAAATGTTGTATTAAAAGTCGACTTCACAGCACTCAGGAAACCCTTATAAGTGCTCCATCGCCATCTTCAGCAGCAGGTGAAAAATGCCAGTTGTGATGCCAGTAGCTGTCTGTATCTCTGTCTCGCCCTTCCCTTAGGTGTTGAGCATCGGCCAGATCCCCTGTTAACTCGCCTCAGACCGTAATGATCTTTTGTGCCTCACGCACTATTCACTGGCTACCAAAGGGCCCTCGCAACATCTAGCTTGTCATACATCAGTTCCCCACCAGGTGGTGCAGAACCAGCCAGTCTACTGCCTGCTCATGTTCCTAACACACCAGCATACCTGGAGAAAACATCCACAGGACGCTAACTACCTGGGACCTCCGAAGTGATCCATGCCACTCGGCACTTAGCATACCTGTCTCCACCTTTCTCAACATGCTTTGTGAATCAGTTACAATCATGGCATGTGTGAATAGCTGATTCTCAAGCCAGCGGTGTGCAGCAGTGACTGTCTTCACTTCTATTCTCAAACATGATATCATATGCCAGGCTTTGCTGCATTAGGTGACATCCATCGCCTTTGCTATGCACCCTCATGCACTTCATCTGCCCCTCAACACAGAGGCATCTGTGTATATAATCACATCACCTGGGTGGGAATTGTCATGAATCCTTTGTTACACCTCTGACTCTACAGCACCAGCTGGCCAGTCCCTGCACTCACAACCTAAAGTGACTAGAACCCTACACAAGTCTGAAACTTACTCGTACACTTTGATCCACACCTCTCCTCGACCAAATTCATCAAGCCTTCACACATGTCTAATTGTTCTTCAGTTTGCTCCATCCAAGACCTTTCTATTTTCAGTCTGTGACCCCTAACTCTATCCAGGGCTTGCAGGAGGTGTTCCTTGTCTGCAGCTACTCTGAGATAGAATAGACTGACTGCCCCCCTAACAACCATGTCATAAAAGGCTAATTAGGGGTATTTTCTTCAAAGTCAGAGTTCATCTGCCTAAGTGGCAAAGAACCAACCGGCTTTATACAGAAAAACCAGAAATAAAAATCTGGAACGAGACTAAAGTCTAGACAGACAGCCAAAACTTTCTCCCGGAGTTTACAGCCAGTGAACATAAAGAAGAAGACATTCCCCTGGTCCTGATATAGGGAGTAGGTTTACAGTTAGGCAGTTTTTCTGTCTGTGTGATTCTTATGGCTATTGACTGTGTTGCGAGGTTGAGGTTTCATCCCATAAAATGTAGCTTTTGGCTGTGCTGTCAGGTTGAGGCCACACAGAGTAAAAAAATTGGCACCATAAAACATCCGATTGAAATATTTTTTAAAATCTTCATCTTAACCTTAATTATCGGCAATTGGTTTAGCACATTCATTATCAATTGCCGTATCAAGACTATTCTCACTATCTGGCTGAGATTCATCAACACAGTAGAATAGAATATACAGTTCTAGACTTTGCCCTTACATTTGCTATAGAAAAATCACGTAAAGATCATATCACATCTAAAAAGTTAAAACTTTCTCACATAGTGACACAAAAGCCATGCGGAACTTTGAAAACGAAAGGACGTCATGTCGCAAATTCTGGTTTTTCGAAACATGTTTATACAGATTAATTTTCCCACCTAACAAAATATTAGAGTGTTTCTATGAAGCGCCACTATATTGGCTAAAAGTCTAAACATGTTTATGAAGTGCCACTATATTGACGAAAAGTCTGAACATTTCTATGAAGCGCCACTATATTGGCTAAAAGTCTGAACGCTTCTGTGAGGCGCCAATATATTGGCTAAAAGTCTGAATGTTTCTATGAAGCGCCACTATATTGGCTAAAATCTGAACGGGGTGGATTCCAAAAGACACTTAAGTGGTCAGTAGTCCTTAAGAGTTAAACAGCTTGTTCAGTAGATGAATCAGAGAATTTATTTCCTAATACTGCAGATTTCTTTTTAGGCTTCACCGGCTGTAAACTCATGGGGACAAGTTACGGTTCATCCATTTCTGGACATTATGATCTTGCGTCAGAATTTGAGTTTTGTGGGCACAACTGGCTTATTTGTCTGCAGATTGTTCGTTCTTCGCCTCTGAGACAGATGCAATCCAGCACTCCAACTTCCAAGGAAACTTCCCTAATAAGTTGCCTTGTAAGACATGCTTGTTAAAGAGGCAGTTGGTCTGTCCTTCCCTCACCTCCAATGGCTCCAGGAACCCGCACAGGGGTGACGTGCAAAAACATGAAGGGAAGTGTTTGAGCAAACTGGTCATAAAAGTATTTGCTGAAAACGCAAGTTGTTAAATGATTTTACTAACAATTGGCTGGTCTAGAGCCATTGAAATTCACGTTAAAGCAGCAAAAATAAAACCAGTAACGAATTTGCCTGTTATTTATTGTGTATGTGTGTACTCTTTCATAGATAAACTTGCAGCCTTGTGGCCATTCTTGGGAATTGTAGGAGAGGTTGTTGTTCTATGCACCATCATCTTCATCTACGAGAAACGCAGAAACAAGCAAGTTCAGCAGGAAGAAAAAGCTGCAGAGGAAGTGTGAGTTCCCTTGTTACTTACTTAGTCAATCCTCTTCTACCTTGGGCAGTAGAGGGTTACCAGAGATCTGTAGTTTTTCCTGTTTGCTTTGTTCCATTCCAGTTGCCTGACCGTTAGGGACTGTCGGATGTTGTCTTCCCAGTGAACCCTGGGTCATCCTGGTGGTCTGGTTGTTAGTCTCCCATGGTAGCTGATTTTCTCCCATTATGCTTTCATGTTCAGACCATCGTAACTTTGATCCACTTGAGTTTGTAAAGCCTGGATTTCAAGATCCTGGCGTATTGTCTGTAAACTTTGTCCATTCTTGCCACTTGGACCACCTTTCTCAGATATCTAATTTCTTGAGACCTAAAGCTGGCTTCTGTGAGCTGTTGTCAGTGCCCATGAATCCCACCAGTAGGTCAAGCCTGGCACATATGTAACTTGTCACTGTTATTTTTAATTGTCCGTTGCAATCTTTTGCAGACTCAAGACAGAACATTATGCAGTATGATTGTGTTTCTTAATCCACAGGAAATGCATACTTTAAGACTATTCTTTTTGTGTGGAGGGAGGAAAAAGTTCAGGGCAAGTAGGTAAGAGTCAGCCAGTGATACAGTTGGGAAGAAAACATCAAGAGGTGGACAAACAGCAAGAGTGAAAGAGTGAAAATCCGGGGAGAAAGACAGCATATTGGAAATCCAATGCAGCCAGAGAAATCACCTGATTAATTGACTGAGCATGTCTCTCTGTAAATCTTGTCATCTTTATCTAGAATATCTTCATGTGTTGTAAAGCACACACACACACCCCCCCCCCCCCCCCCCCCCCCATTTGCAGGTTTCTGATCCTCTGTGTGGTCTTTATTCTGCATCTGTTCATACACTGTTTCTTAAAACAGGCCTAATATTTAAAGACAAACCTCAAGACATGTTTGTGTATTAAAAGAAAACAGTTTGTGATAGTTTGTGTCCCTAACTTGCCAGGGTGGAGGGACTTGCATTTCTCAGTGACCCTGAGAGTTATGCTGGCAGTAGCAGAGTTACCATTAGGGGCTGCTAACCTTGCCAGGCGAACATAGGTATACTGGTCCCCAGAGTTGGGGGGTTGATTTGTGGAGGCAACATTGCCCACATTTGTAAAACCTCATGGGTGGATTTAAATAGATCCACAAAAAGTCAGCAACTGGAAAAAGAAGGCCAGTACCAGAGATTAATAAATAAGGGCGGGCAATATCTGCAACAGTGAACTTCAGAGGCTCAGAAAGATGAAGCAAAAAACTAACAATGATGGTAGTTGGGTCTGTTGGCGCCTTTGACTTAGGCGCTGCGAACTTGTTTTGTAGTGCGGGTAGCCAGGTTCGCACCAAACTGCGAGCTTTGCTTTGGTTTTGACGGTGGCATTGAGAATCCGACCGCCCAGAAAGCAATGGCAAACTAATGGACGTAAATTTGCCTAGAAAAACCACAACAGCCAAAAAATGTTGGGGTTGGTTCTGCAACGTCCTGTAAAGGATACACAACTAACTTTTAATTGGGTCTGCATAATTTTTTTTAATTGTTTTATTTTTTTCAGAGATGGTTCAGCGGCAGACAAGAAAGAAGGACTAAGACACCGTAACACCAATACCTCAGCATAGATTATGTCATTGAGTACATGTGTATAGCCTTTCTCTTCCTTCACCCGTAAATGATAGGCACTTGTATATCGTTCATTGTTAACTTGCATAGGGATTTACTTTCTTTTGGATGGCTTTTTTCGTTACCATGATTACTCAATGTTGAATGTGATTTTTATGTATGCCATCATTTACTTGATTTTACAGAAAGTTTTACCTATAGTTTCAGTAAATGTGAAAAAAAAAAAGTATTTAATTTATTGAAGCACCCATTCAGAACTAAAGTTTTACCAGTGATTGCCTGTTTGTAAGTTGATTATATATATATTTTTTTTTAAGGTTAGTCGTGGTTTTTTTCATGGTGTGTAGGGTGATTTGGTAGCAGACCGCCTTGCATATGTTTCGAGGGTGGTATTGCAGGCCGACTGTTAAGAGAACAGTGGCAAACTACTGAATGTAATTCAACAAAAAAAAATGGTGTGTGGGTTCTGCAGCGGCCTGTACATGACATAGCTAACTAAAAGAGGACATTTCCATGCCAGAAAAATCTGGTTCTTGGAATTCTCTGCAGCTATGTTTAGACTTGCAGGTGCCCATTTGTCAGTATACTTTTTTTTATGTTTTAAAAAAATCAGCTAACATTTGCCGGTAACATAGTACGATTGTCAGTCTTTCATCTTGTTGATCATTCATATAATTTTGTAACATTGTATCTGTTGACTTACTGTTACAGGTTTCATGTGCATCCATGTTCAAGATAGTATTCTTTTTGTATTTGATTTATTATAAAGATAAATACATGTTACAAAGAAATAAATGTTACAAACAACTGAATTGTATTAAGTTACTACTTGATAATGTAAATTACAAACTTGCTGGTTCATGAATGTTATTTCATTGTCACAACATTGTTGCCTCAACTTGATTCACATGGTAGGTTTTCAATCTGATGTGCTTTATTTTCCTTTATGTGAAGGCTCCACATTGGCTCAGTAGATATAATGTTTGAATCATTGGCTCAGTAGATATAGTGTTTGAATCATTGGCTCCAGATATAGTGTTTGAATCATTGGCTCCAGATATAGTGTTTGAATCATTGGCTCCAGATATAGTGTTTGAATCATTGGCTCCAGATATAGTGTTTGAATCATTGGCTCCAGATATAGTGTTTGAATCATTGGCTCCAGATATAGTGTTTGAATCATTGGCTCCAGATATAGTGTTTGAATCATTGGCTCCAGATATAGTGTTTGAATCATTGGCTCCAGATATAGTGTTTGAATCATTGGCTCAGTAGATAGAGATACTGTTTAGTAATGTGGTTTGAATATATTCAGGAACACTGCGACATAGTCCACATTCTTAAAATTCTGTCCCAGAAAGGCAAGAACCAATGGGAGTTAACTGATAAGTATTCTTAAAAAACAATAAACGGACACAGTTCACTAATAATTTGTCCCGAAATTTAAATGTTTTAAAATTGTTTCTCCTGAAATAAATTAAGAGAATAATTAATAAACATGAACAAAATTAAGCAAGCATTGAATGGAATACATTACCCGGGGCCTAAGAATGCTATTTTTATAAAATATATTCATGTGTGGACCTGCTAAACACCGCAGTTTCAAATGGAACCCAAAATCACTAACTAGGTTTTTTGGGGACATGTCATAGCAGAAATGCTGGTTGAATGGTATTTACCGGAAGGCATCACAGACAAAATTTGCAAGTTTTAGCTTCTCTGAGCGACAGGGTAAAAGGTAGCCATCATTTCTCTGAGCCAGGAAACGCTGCCAGCCTCAGTTTACACAAATCTCATACGCAGACTTGGTCATATTGTAGCGGCCAGTATTCATGTTTTCAGTTTTGTATCGAATGTGGTAGTCGATTTCAAAAACCCAATTTCTGACAGCTGAAAGTGCCCATAATACAAGCATTCCACATGTATACTGTGTGACTTGACAGCAGCAAAGTTGTGAAGTAAGACATGACTTATCTTGAGGAATATCTTCAGCTGTACAGCCTAAATTTAGATAATAAAATATTTACAAAATGTCTTATTTAGTGTGTTATATAATTTTTTCCTTGCTTTTCTTCATCTTTTTTTTCTTTCAAATATTTATTTCATTTATCATGGTTTGTTTGGTTGTTATTTTTCCTTCCTGTTCTTTCTTTCTCATTATTTCTTAGAAATCCTGTTTATTAAATTCTTCCAACACATACTTTTCACTAGTCCGTTATTTTTGTCTTGTCAAACAATCTTATTTGCTTTCACATGGGCTGTAAATACTTTGGTAGATAGTTTTAATTGTCTACTTCTGGACTTTAGCCTTGTTCTGATTTAAGTATTGCCTGCACATGTTTTACAGATGCCACTTATTTTTGTGCATGCTGTTGGTTCCTTGTCTCAAAGAACATCAGTCCTAAGTTTGCTCAGGTCTCATTTTGGAACCTGTTTCTAGGCTGACCACAGAGAGGTGTAGACTATGTGTAGTTCTGCATCCACACACTCAAAACTTTGCTTTATGTTTTTCTTCATTATTATTTGTTTAAGCATTTTTTTTAAAAGTGTTTTCTTGCTCCATTGTTGCAGCAATATTGTAGGTATGTCATGAACAGGATCAGAGCAGTATGCATTTATGGAATCTTCTTGGCGGGGGGTGGGGAATGCTCATTTTCTGCTGACCAGCGTTACATTGCTGCCCTGTATTGGGCCGATGAGAGGCAGCACCTGTGAACTGGGAAACAAAGATGAACACAACATTGAGACTGCAGTGTCTCGGGAAACTACCTGGGTAGGCTAACCCGTGCAACAAATACCTGAAGAAGTCAGACGTGTTGGCTGAAGAGTGCAAATATTGTAGCCATGTTGTAAACTTCCTTAACACATTTACCTGTTTGGATGACCGCAGAAGTATGAATGTTCAGCTCACTGAATATTCATGAATGTTGTCCTAGATGTAAACTAGTCACCTTAAGTTATATCTGGGGATTACATTGTATGTACGGGCAGGAAACATATATCCACAGCCTGACATTACATACTGACAGTCCGTGGTATTGGCACTAGCCATACGGCCCCAAATCTTTAAGTTCAAGGTCGGTTGACAAGACAGGTGATTATATCTTAGTTCTGGATGCCCAGCCTGATACTGTTTGCCAGCTGTCCTTAGAGCATGTGTAGTTATTGTTCATTGGCTGTAAACTCTGGCAGAAAGTTCTGGTCATTTGTCTACTTCTGAATTTAGTTTTGTTCCTGGACAGTGGAAGACTGAGACCCACCCAGGGAGATGAAAAGTTATTTTCATGCCAGTAATTATTGTAGAGTGTAGAAAGCTGACATGCCATAATTGTGAAGTGAAGCATTCATATTATTGTAGAACATTATTATTAGTGAGTTTCTTTTTTGATAGTTTAGGTCTCCTAGTCTACAAAGTTTAGGTCTCCTAGTCTACAAGGTTTAGGTCTCCTAGTCTACAAGGTTTAGGTCTCCTAGTCTACAAAGTTTAGGTCTCCTAGTCTACAAGGTTTAGGTCTCCTAGTCTACAAGGTTTAGGTCTCCTAGTCTACAAAGTTTAGGTCTCCTAGTCTACTACAAAGTTTAGGTCTCCTAGTCTACTACAAAGTTTAGGTCTCCTAGTCTACAAGGTTTAGGTCTCCTAGTCTACAAAGTTTAGGTCTCCTAGTCTACAAGGTTTAGGTCTCCTAGTCTACAAAGTTTAGGTCTCCTAGTCTACAAAGTTTAGGTCTCCTAGTCTACAAAGTTTAGGTCTCCTAGTCTACAAAGTCTCCTAGTCTACAAGGTTTAGGTCTCCTAGTCTACAAAGTTTAGGTCTCCTAGTCTACAAGGTTTAGGTCTCCTAGTCTACAAAGTTTAGGTCTCCTAGTCTACAAGGTTTAGGTCTCCTAGTCTACAAGGTTTAGGTCTCCTAGTCTACAAGGTTTAGGTCTCCTAGTCTACAAGGTTTAGGTCTCCTAGTCTACAAAGTTTAGGTCTCCTAGTCTACAAAGTTTAGGTCTCCTAGTCTACAAGGTTTAGGTCTCCTAGTCTACAAAGTTTAGGTCTCCTAGTCTACTACAAAGTTTAGGTCTCCTAGTCTACTACAAAGTTTAGGTCTCCTAGTCTACTACAAAGTTTAGGTCTCCTAGTCTACAAAGTTTAGGTCTCCTAGTCTACAAGGTTTAGGTCTCCTAGTCTACTACAAAGTTTAGGTCTTAGGTCTCCTAGTCTACAAAGTTTAGGTCTCCTAGTCTACTACAAGTTTAGGTCTCCTAGTCTACAAGTTTAGGTCTCCTAGTCTACTACAAGTTTAGGTCTCCTAGTCTACTACAAAGTTTAGGTCTCCTAGTCTACAAAGTTTAGGTCTCCTAGTCTACTACAAAGTTTAGGTCTCCTAGTCTACTACAAGGTTTAGGTCTCCTAGTCTACACAAAGTTTAGGTCTCTCCTACAAAGTTAGGTCTCCTAGTCTACTACAAAGTTTAGGTCTCCTAGTCTACAAAGTTTAGGTCTCCTAGTCTACAAAGTTTAGGTCTCCTAGTCTACTACAAAGTTTAGGTCTCCTAGTCTACTACAAAGTTTAGGTCTCCTAGTCTACTACAAAGTTTAGGTCTCCTAGTCTACTACAAAGTTTAGGTCTCCTAGTCTACAAGGTTTAGGTCTCCTAGTCTACTACAAAGTTTAGGTCTCCTAGTCTACTACAAAGTTTCTCCTAGGTTTAGGTCTCCTAGTCTACTACAAAGTTTAGGTCTCCTAGTCTACTACAAAGTTTAGGTCTCCTAGTCTACTACAAAGTTTAGGTCTCCTAGTCTACTACAAAGTTTAGGTCTCCTAGTCTACTACAAAGTTTAGGTCTCCTAGTCTACAAGGTTTAGGTCTCCTAGTCTACAAAGTTTAGGTCTCCTAGTCTACTACAAAGTTTAGGTCTCCTAGTCTACTACAAAGTTTAGGTCTCCTAGTCTACAAAGTTTAGGTCTCCTAGTCTACTACAAAGTTTAGGTCTCCTAGTCTACTACAAAGTT